CCTCAGACTCAAGATAGCTAACGGAGTAGCAACCAGTTTGCAAGGACTCCGGTGACAAAAAGTCCAATTAAAATTAAAACACACATTCAAATACACAAATCACACATTTAAAAGCAACCAGAATTTAGAATACACAAACGAGTAAGAGTTGGATGAGCACAGCCAAATCGGCTGAAAGAGATTACTGTCTCTACCCAGTGCTCTTTGGAAGAAGACTGTCTTACATGTCATCCTAAATGTAGCCAGTGAGGGAGCCTTCCTCACCCACTCAGGTCGACCATTCCGAAGAAAAAGCCCATGGTCTGAATATGGATAGTCTTAAGCAGGGCTTTTCTTGTAGAAAAAGCCCAGCAGGAACTCATTAGCATGATTGGCCACACCTAACAGCAGAAACTCATTAGCATATTAGGCCACACCCGACAGCACAGCTCATTAGCATATTAGGCCACACCCCATGCCTTCCCTTGGCTTGCCCGGGCATCTTGTGGCTGCGGGGAGCCCGGGCAAGCCTCCCCTTGAAGGGAAGGCAGTTTAAACTGCCTTCCCTTGGCTTGCCAGGGCTCCCCACGACTGTGGGGAGCCCGGGCAAGCTGGCCCTTGGACAGGCTGGGGAAGGCACGGGGTGGCATTTAAATGCCTCCCTCCCCGATCCTTCCAGGGCCCCCCCTGGCCTGCCCGCCTCAGAGTCGCCAGGGAGGAGGTCGCTCTCCAGGCCTTCCCTCTGTAGCCACGCATGCAGAGGTTTTGGCTGTAGTGGGCGTGGCCAACTCTGACGCCAGCCGGAATGCCGTTCCTGTGCGTTCCTGCCCAAAAATCACCCTGGTCTTAAGGAAGGGCACCTTGTGGTAGAGGCTGTCTGAAGAACGTGATTGGTACAGCAGATGTAGTCTGATAATCACTTGGAATTATGTACAGGTAAGTTTGGGGTGGGGGGGTTTCTAGCATGCTCAGCATCATGTTTAAGCCAGGCCTAAGAATGACTGAGAATACACATTAAACAAACCACTGGAAGGCCCCGGTCACACAAGCGGGAAAATCCGCACTGGAAGGGAGGCATTTTAGAGGCGGAGCTAAAAGAAGCACGGGACCGCGATCTTACGCTCCCCTGCGGCACCCGATCACACTGGGGAGGCAATGGCGTAGTCCCAGCGAGGCAACACGGCAGTTCTGTGCTAGTGCGCATGCGTGGGTCGTGGATGGCTGCAGGATGCTACGGGCTGCCGGCGCATCCACGATCCCACGCCCGCTGTTGCTGTGGACCTTCTGGTAGGTACTCCATTTCCCCTAGTACCTTTTCGATCTGCATTTTCGGCCAGATGCGATGGATTAGGAGCGGGTGCGCGACGACGCTTGCCAGATGTTGGCATCTGATCATGCCGGTTTGATCTGCCCTTAATCCAGCCCCTCCGCGTACCTAATTCTCCATGTGACCGGGGCCGGAGTCTGGTAAATGGCAACATCTTGTTGCTTCAAGCAATAGTGAATAAATGACCATCCAGCACTGAACTTCCTACTCCCCTGTTTTTGGCACACATTCACTGGCTGTGGCACATCTGTTAGGGATGCTGGCGAATACAAGAATGTGCTGGTGCTGCTTGCTGAACTGGGTGGTCTTCTGACTCCTTCATGCCTCATGATTTGGCATTTACTTGCCAAGAGCTTTTAGCATTATTCTCCACAGAAAGGGATGTTTCAGCTTTAAAAGGTAAAGGTTCCCTTGCTTGAAAGCCAGTCGAATTCGACTCTAGGGTTGTGGGGCTCATCTCCGTTTCCAAGCCGAAGAGCCAGCGCTATCCGAAGACGTTTCTGTGGTCATGTGGCCGGCATGACTAAACACCAAGGCACATGGAACGCTGTCACCTTCCCACCGAAGTGGTCCCTATTTATCTACTTACAATTTCTTGCTTCGAACTGCTAGGTTGGCAGGAGCTGGAACTAGAGACGGGAGCTCACTCCGTCATGCGTTTCATCAAGGTTTTTCAGCTTTACATGTGGGTAAAAATTCAGCTAGCTTTCTCTTGCCATCTTGCCACCATCCAGTGCTGCTCCATGTCCTGAGTCTAGTGCCTTGTGTTTCAAAAAGGGATGGCGCTGTATGCAACATAGTCCCATTACACTTAGAAGTTATTTGCACATCCCAGACCAACTGCGAGTGGTGTCATTCCAAAATGAAATCCCCAGCAATCTAGCAGCTTCATGTGTGTCATGCTGAAGAACGGGTTTCTCTTTCTTATTTCGGATTCTTTTAACTCTCTGCCATTTCTTTTTAAACCCTCTCTTTTTTAAAAAAATGTATCACTGAATGCTATCCAGAGAAAGCTACGTATGAGGAAATCCCAATGATATCAGTAAGCAGCGGCTGAGGGATGTAGACCTATCTATCTTTCATTGTTGATACGTTAAAACTCTTGAAAATCAAAGGAAAAGAATAACTCATCTCTTTCTAACAACAAAATTAAAGATTGAATGGATTACAGGCCAGATGTTAATGTAACATTCATACTGGAGTTTGCAGTTTGCTGTTTTCCAGTACAGTTGGACACTGTGTCTCGAGACAGGGTTGTGTATCTAGAATAGATCAAGGATAGGCGACACAAGTTTGACAGCTTTGTTCTATACTTACAGAGACAGAAGTCCTTGTATTATCTATGGACACAGGGCACTACTGTAGGTAGGAAAGCAAATTTTAACAGAAACTTACTATCCAGGGCTTTAAGTACCCAAGCCCCTTTTCCAAAAGCAACTTCACTAAGAATACGGGCTATAGAGACTGCCTCTTTGTACAGGATACAAGCCCCTACATTCTATAGTATCAAGTACCAAGATCATGTGTAAGGCACTACAAAGAAGATTTCAGGACGTATATTTTCTGGAATAATTGCATCAGATTTTCACTTCTGCAGCAATTGTTGTGGTTACCATTTGCCCAAAGTTTTAGTCCAGTGCCTAAATTCTCTTGAGAATACACTCTCTTGAGAATTTCTCTTGACTTGCACAAATATGCTCCCACCTGCTCTTTAACTTTTGTAACTGTTTGACATCCACCAGTTTAATCACCATTGTAAACAACATTGTACAGCAGTTTATTGATTGTGTCTATTCTATACACAAGGGAGGAGGAGGGAATGTCTGTTTTCTTACTCAGTGGCCACTTGGTGGCCTTTTGGGGCAGGGGGAAGCTGGCCACTTGTGGGACAGGGGGGGGGGAGCAGTTCATTGATGGAAGTTGTTCTTCTTTATTCCAGAACCATTCAAACCAATATCTTAATATAATTATCCACTGCACTATTTAGAGCTACTGTTTGGCCTTAATCAGCCAATGGAGAATGTGCTCTTGGGGTACAGGCACATCACCTGGAATTTCTTCTTTCAGATCTGGCCAAGCACACCTTGATACGTCCCCAAAACCTGCCATCTCCCTGTGGTTTCTTAAGCCATTCTTAGGTGTAGACAGTGGAACATTTTAACAATTTGCATAGAAACCCACAAACTGATGTAAGCAATTTTCCCGGGGGAACTCTATGGCAGTCATCCATCTCATCTGTGGTTCATTTGACAGTATACCCTCCAAGGGTTCAACAGTCTGGATTTAGCCTTTAGAGAATTAGTTGTAAAGTGAGTCCCATTCACCTTTTCACTGATGAAAAGAAAATAATCTGTTTGTACAGAAAGGACTTCCAGAGATCCGCTTCTGTGTACAGAAGTTACTCATGCTCGTTAATGATCTATCCCTTTAAAGGGACTTCCCGGCGTCATTTATGACATCGGTTATCGGCACTCCAGCTTAGCTCTTCTGCATTGTCACCACGGAAACGTCTTCGGACAGTGCTGGCTCTTCGGCTCAGAAACGGAGATGAGCCACCGCAACCCCAGAGTCGGATTCGACTGGCTTTCTTACCTTTACCTTGTCCCTATTGCTTCGGGGTTTCTCTCCCCACCCCCCAATGTGTTTTGCTCTCTCTAGTAGTCCCAGAGGGAGGGAAACACATGTGGAAAGGGGGGAGGGGGGCCAAAGCTATAGGGACAAACGAGTGACAAAAATGACAATGCGGAAGAGCCCAACGTTTCCACTAAGCTCGTTATCCACCAGCGTTCCCTCTAAGCTGAGTTAGTGTGAGTTAGCTCACAGTTTTTTAGCCTCCGGCTCACAGATTTTGGTCTCCGCTCAGAAAGGATGAGGCTCCAGAGCAAACTAATTTATGCAGCACCCAAATCGCTCGCTCACAACTTTAATTGCCAGGAGCTCACAAAGTAGAATTTTGGCTCACAAGACTCCACGGCAGGGAACATTGTTATCCACTATGCCCCGGGATTCCCCCCCCCCCAAAAAAAATCCTCCATCCAAACCTTAAAAAAACTGGAACCGGTCGAGCTTCTCCCCCGCCCCCGATCCAGATGTTCACACCAGTGCCAGCCGACAAGCCCAGGAGGTTTAGGGAGCGTGTTAAGGTGCATCCTATCCAACGTTCCCTCTAAGCTGTGGAGTCTTGTGAGCAAAAATTCTGCTTTGTGAGCCACTGGCATGAAAGTGGTGAGCTAGCAATTTGGCTGCTGCATAAATTACTTTGCTCTGGAGCCCTCCCTTCCTGAGCTAAGACAAAAATGTGTGAGCCGGAGGCTAAAAAACGGTGAGCTAGCTCACACTAACTCAGCTTAGAGGGAACACTGAATTCCTATCCCGACCATCATTCGATACTGAGTCAGGATTTTCAGCCTGTGCTTCTGGAAAAGCCATTCATCAATTCAGACCCCCACCCACCCCCCTCCCCGGCCGACAAACGCCTCCTCGCCCTCCCGGAATGGATGTCTTCGCGCCCTGAAACCCCCAGCCTGCAAAAGGATGCCGCCGCTTTCCTATCTGCTCCTCTCGAGTACAAAACCTCCTCTAGCGAGGGTCAAAAGAGCCTTTTGCCGCGCGGGATTCGCCTTATCGGTGGGCTGAGCTCCATGTACACAAAGGAATCGCTTCCCGTCTCCCCCGCGGACAGGTAAAGACTCACCTTATGAGATTCTGCAGACCCTGCTTGCTCGAATTCCGTCTCAAGATCGCGCTGGTCATGGTGGGTTGGAAGGGACCCGGGGCAGGCTCGGAATCCCCGCTGCTGCCAAACCTCCCTTTCCCCTCTCCCTTTCTCGCCCCTGCTTTTCTAAGATAATATTGTTGGCTGTTTTGCGCGGCTGGCTCGTTCTCTCCCTCTCTCTCTCCCTCTTTCTGTCTCACTCTTTCTTTCCCTGTCCAGGAAGTTCTGCAGCTGGTTTCCTTTTGTTTCTCTAAGCCCCCCTATCCCACTCCCACCCAGCGCGCACACACACACACACACCCCTCCACCTCTGCCTTCTCCTTCTCAGCCTAGTGGAAATGTCAGGGAAGAAAGAATCTATCGGAGAGCTTGCGAAAGGATCCCTCCCTGCTCCGGTCGGATCGCTGAATGAACTCGGGGTGAAGTTGAAAGCCAGTCTTGTCTGTCCAAAACGCATTCCCTTCCTTAGGTGCCTCCTCCTCTCCTCTACAGTCGCCCAGGCTGCGCTCACTCTCTCTCTCTCTCTCTCGCTCTTTCCATCTGTTTCTCGCCACCCTCCCTTCCCCTCTGTCTCTTCTTCCCTTTCTGATCTTTTCACTGTTTGTTCTCCCATGGCAGAAAAAGGACCAAAAGTTCACCATTCAGGAGGATAAAGCTAGCCTCACAGTGCCATCAGATGAGGAGTTACAGCCCACGGACGTAGAAGGCATTTGCTAACTAGAGTCAAGCAAACGTCTGAAGACAAAACTGGAGCGTAATCAATGGACAAATTTGACAAATTTGAAGCAAAGGACTGGTCCAGTGAATCTTGTGTTCGCCCTGAAATCAGGGATACCAGATTTTACCAAATCCCAACCAGTGGGGTCTTGTGAGCAAAAATTCAACTTTGTGAGCTACTGGCATTAAAGTTGTGAGCAAGCAACTTGGCTTCTGCATAATTTTGTTTGCATTGGAGCCCTCTTTCCTGAGCGAAGACAAAAATGTATGAGCTGGAGGCTAAAAAAACTGTGAGCTAGCTCACACTGACTCAGCTTAGAGGGAACACTGATCCCAACTCACATAGTGATGATAGTGTGTGGCTTGCTCCATGTCCTTCTAGTAGACTTGCACTCTGTATACTTGCACTTAGAAGAAGAAGAAGAAGAAGAGATTGGATTTATACCCCGCCCTTCACTACCCAAAGGTGTCTCAGAGCGGCTTACAAACTCCTTTCCCTGCCCCTCCCCTCAACAGACACCCTGGGAGGTAGGTGGGGCTGAGAGAGCTCTGACAGAAACTGCTCTTTTTCAAGAACAGCTCTTATCAGACCTACGACTTGGCCCAAGGTCATCCAGCCAGGTGCAAGTGGAGGAGCGGGGAATCAAACCCGGCTCTCCCAGATTAGAGTCCGCGCACTTAACCACTACACCAAACTGGCTTACTGATAATAATGGCTTCCTAGTGTATACGCCTATATGAAAAGCCCAGGAGTAAAATTGTCACTTACGATAAGAACAAGAAAACTGCCCTCATTTGTGAGATGGGACAGATTGCACAGAGGTTGTTGCATTGCTGTGTAATTAGAACTTGATAGAAAGCATTCTTTCCAAACAAATTATTTCCAGTAGGATCAGATTCATGACAAAAGGCTTGGCTATCAGAAAGCTTTGCTGAGTGCAGGGAGGCAAGGAAACTCTTTCCAGTATGCACACAGGACACAATTAAAAAAACAACAACAGTCAAGTCTGATGGGGCAACCAACCCTTCTGTCATTCAGTGTTCAAAGTCAGCCACATGCTAGGCACTTAATCCACATCTAAGTGCAATAGGATGCATCCCACCCAGTGCTCCACCATTTCCCAACCATGACAAAACCATAGACCAGTGGTGGCGAACCTATGGCACGGGGGCCAGAGATGGCACTCAGAGCCCTCTCTGTGGGCACGGGTGCCATCACCCCAGCCAGGCCCAGACCATCGTTAAAGTGTCGAAGTCTCTGCCAAATAATTTTAAGTAAATGAAAGCATTTGGGGTTGCTTTCCTTACTTTGTTTGGATCATCTTAAGTTAATGTTATGAGTTGTTTTTTTCTAAACTAAACCCTCAGTATTCAGGTTAAATTGCCGTGTTGGCACTTTGCGATAAATAAAGTGGGTTTTGGGTCGCAGTTTGGGCACTCGGTCTCTAAAAGGTTCATCATCACTGCCATAGAGTACCAACAGGGGAGGACTGTTATGTTTCCGCCTCATTTAAGCTTCCTGGAGGCATTCTAGCTGATCTTTGCTAGAGAACAAGACTTGTGGGACCCTTGGTCTGTTCACAGAGGGTTCTTCTTACATCCTTACGTTACACTCTAGGAGTTTTCCAGGAATCAGATAATCTTAACCTGTTCTTGTCCCATCGTCACCTGCCAAAGGTATAGACAGAAGAGCAGGAGCAATGAAAACTGCACAGCTGCCACTGGACTGTTATGTGCCACATCATCCCTTCACCACTGAGGAATGTCTTCCACCTTTCTGGGCAGTCACTAAAGAGTCATCCCGAAAACAGAAGCTCCCATGTAGAAGTGCCTTGTTGTTCAGTCGCACACAGGGCTGGCCCGAGGGGTTTCTGCGCCCTAGGCCAGGCTGCCTCATGGCTCCCCCCCCCTCAGATGCCAACCTCCCAGTGGGGCCTGGAGACCTCCCAGCTGGGTCCCAGCAGCAGGGCTGGCCGAGAGAGGGCTCCGTTCCCCGCCGCCGCCTTCTGCCTGCCCACCCGCCCACAGCAGGCAGCTTTTTTGCTAAGGAGGAGGCCGGAGGCCCCTCGGCCCGTCCGCTACCTGGATCGAGAGCCAGCCTCGAAGGTCCGGTTAGCCTCGCCCCCCCCCCGGTCCCTGCTGCAGAAGCCCGATTTGGCAAACAGCTGCGGAGCCCCGGGGCGCTTTTGCACGTGGGAAGGGGGCAGGCAGGCAGGCGGGCTCCGGAGGCTCCACGCCCCCTTCTGGGCAGGCCACTGAGCACTCCCCAGGAGTTGGCAAGGGTGCACTGTGGCTGGCGCAGAGCAGCATGCGTGCTGCCGCCACGCCACCGCCGCGACGAAAGGAGCAGCGGGCGGCTTTGGGCAGGGTGGGGGTTTTTGGCGGGGGGGTGGCAGGGGAATTGGCGCCCTGCTAGAATCTCCGCTCTAGGCGAGATACTAGCAGGCCTAATGATAGGGCCGGCCCTGGTCGCACAGTCGAGTCTGACTCTTCGCGACTCCATGGACCACATCACGTCAGGCCCTCCTGTTTTCCGTCATGCTCCGGAGTTTGCTTAATTTCATATTCGTTGCCTCGATAACACTGTCTGACCATCTCATCTTCTGTTGTCCCCTTCTTCTTTGACCTCCAATCTTTCCCAGCATGAGAGTCTTCACCAGTGAGTGCTCCCTTCTCATTTGGTGGCCAAAGTATTTGAGCTTCAGCTTCATTATCTGGCCTTCCAGTGAACAGTCAGGGTTGACTTCTTTTAGGATTGACTGATTTGATCTCCTTGCAGTCCAAGGGACTCTCAAGAATCTTCTCCAGCACCATAATTCAGAAGAATGTATTCTTTGGCGCTCGGCCTTTCTTATAGTCCAACTCTCGCAGCCATACATGTTGTTGTTGTTCAGTCGCACAGTCGAGTCCAACTCTTCGCGACCCCATGGACCACATCACGCCAGGCCCTCCTGTCTTCCGTCGTGCTCTGGAGTTTGCTTAATTTCATGTTAGTTGCCTCAATAACACTGTCTAGCCATCTCATCTTTTGTTGTCCCCTTCTTCTTTGACCTCCAATCTTTCCCAGCATCAGAGTCTTCTCCAGTGAGTGCTCCCTTCTCATTTGGTGGCCAAAGTATTTGAGCTTCAGCTTCATTATCTGGCCTTCTAGCGAACAGTCAGGGTTGACTTCTTTTAGGATTGACTGATTTGATCTCCTTGCAGTCCAAGGGACTCTCAAGAATCTTCTCCAGCACCATAATTCAGAAGAATCTATTCTTCAGCACTCAACTTTCCTGATAGTCCAACTCTCACAGCCATACATGACTACTGGGAATACCATTGCTTTGACCATATGGACTTTGGTTGGCTGGGTGATGTCTCTACTTTTTATTAGGCTGTCTAGGTTTGCCATCACTTTCCTCCCAAGGAGCAGGCGTCTTTTAATTTCATGGCTGCAGTCACCGTCTGTGGTGATCTTGGATCCCAGTAACGTGAAGTCTGTCACCGCTTCCATGACTTCCCCTTCTGTTTGCCAAGGAGTGATGGGGCCGGAAGTGCTTAGCTTCAGGCAATGAGAACCCTTCCCCCCCACACACACACACTTTGAGGGGCATTCTTAAATTAGTTAACACAATAGCCAAGGGGACAGGAGATGAAGTTATGCAACGGCAATGGAAGAATGGTGTAGGTGTCAATTCCCATTTTTCTTCTTTAACAGGTGCAGAGGTCATTTTGGGGGGGATCGCGGGGGATCACAGTTCCCCCGGGTGAAGTATGGGGGCGGGGCACATGATGAAGCCCCGCCCCCTGCTTCCGGCCGCCCCGCTTCCGGCCCTCCTTCAGCCAGGAGGAGGCAGGAGAAGAGGGAGGGTAAGTTGCTTCCTCCCTGCCTCTCCCCACCCCTGCCTGCCTGGGGCCAGGGAGGGCCTTTGCGGGGCTTCCTTGCACTCCTGCTGGCCTTGCAGGTCCACCGGCAGTGGAGCTGCAAGGTTGGCGCCGGCGGCTGGGACAGTTGGGAGTGGGGTGTGTGGCCTTATGACACACTTCCGGTGATGTCAGGGTGTGTGGCCTTATGACACACTTCCGGTGATGTCAGGGTGTGTGGCAAATGCTAATGAGTTATGCTAATGAGTTCCCCTAGCTCTTTTCCTATGAAACAACCCCTGAACAGGTGGCATGGAAGTTCTTGAGCATGAGCTTTACAGTGGGTGAGTTCTCAGCCTCCAATTGTATAAAAACGTTAGAAAATACAGTTTCCCAGGGCAGAGAAGCTATCAGGTGCGTGGTGGTACTATCAATGGAAAAATAGGGGAGTACATTCCCATTTGCTTTGCACTTCATCCACTTCTTCAGGAAACCCCATCGTGCAAGGCACTTGGCCTTATTTATGTATATTCATTTTTTTCATTTATACCTTGCCTCAGTTTACATCATTCTCCTCTCCTTTATTTTATCCTTGCAACAGCCTTGTGAGATAGCTTAGGCTGAGAGTGTACAACTGGCCCATGGTCACCCAGCAAGCGTCCACGGAAAAGTGGGGATTAGAACCTGGGTTTCCCAAACCCTAGTACAACACTTTAACCACCATAAGATACTGGCTCTCTTGGCATGATCTCCATAGATGAAAATATCAGGCCAGACCA